GAAAAGTAGAAGAAGAGGATGGAGGATGAAGAAGAAGAAAAAGAGGATGAGAAGAAGATGAGATGAGGATTGATGATGAAGAAGAAGAAAGAAGATGAGGATGAAGAAGAAGAAGAAGAAGAGGATGAAGAAGAAGAAAAGGATGAGGATGAAGAAGAGAAGAAAGAAGATGAGGATTGAAGAAGAGGATGGAGATGAAGAAGAAGGATGAAGAAGAAAGAGGAAGAAGAAGAAGAAGAAGAAGTGGGTGAGGATGAAGAGAAGATGAAGAGGATGAGAATGAAGAAGAAGAAGAGGATGAGGATGAGGAAGAAGAGGATGAGGGAATGAAGAAGAGAGAATAAGAAGGATGAAGAAGAAGAAGGATGAGAAGAAGAAGAAGAGGATGAAGGATGAAGAAGAAAAGGATGAGGATGAAGAAGAAGAGAAGGAATGAGATGAAGAAGAAGAAGAATGAGGAAAAGAAGAAGAAGAAGAAGAGAAGATGAAGAAAGAAGATGAAGAAGAAGAAGAAGAAGAGGATGAGGATGAGGAAAGAAGAAGAGGATGAAGAAGAAGATGAGGATGATGAAGAAGAAGAAGAAGAGTGGATGAGGATGAAGAAGAGGATGAGGATGAAGAAGAAGAAGAAGAAGAGGATGTGGAAAAGTTGATGAGGAAGAAGAAGAGAAGAAGAAGAAGAAGAGGATGAGGATGATGAAGAAGAAGAAGAAGAAGAAGAAGAAAGGATGGATGGTGGATGAGGATGAATGAAGAAAGAAGAGAGGATGAGGTTGATGAAGAAGGAGTGAGATGATGAAGAAGAAGAGGATGAGGATTGATGAAGAAGAAGAGGATGAGGATGAAGAAGAGAATTAGGATGAAGAAGAGGATGAGGATGAAGAGAAGAAGAGAAGAGGAAGAGGATGAGGATGAAGAGAGAAATTAGGGATGAAGAAGAGGATGAGGATGAAGAAGAAGAAGGATGATGAAGAAGAAGAGGATGAGGATGAAGAAGAAGAAGAAGAAGAAGAAGTATAATGAAATAAGAATTCCAGTACAGCAAAAAGTGTATCTGCAGAGAGCTCCGCTATTTCTGACAGTTCTCTGACAGTTCCTTCACATGTACAGCGGTTTGAAACATTGTATCTATTTGTTTCCGAAATAAAAACATCTGTATCCTAAATGGAAACAAATAGATACAATGTTTCAACCGCTGTAAATGTGAAGGAACTGTCAGAGAGGAACTGTCAGAAATAGCGGAGCTCTCTGCAGGGACACTTTTTGCCGGCTGTAGAAGGGATGAAAATCGGCCGATCGGGGGAAAATTCGATTCATGCATCCGAAGTTTGCTAATTTTCAGATTCGCCGCGAAACGAATTTTTCCTAATATTCAAAACGAATTCCACTTCGCCAAGTTCGATTCGCTCATCTCTAATCTCCATATACAGTAACTGCCAGCGCCCGTGTTTGGATGGTTAATGACTCAAGACCAGGGGCGGACTGACCATTTGGAAACTCGGGCACTGCCTGAGGGCCCGGGGTCACTAGAAAAAGGCCCCATGAGATGCCCCTGGTACCTTTTTCATAGGCTTTTTTGAGTTTGGGCAAGAACACAGGGGCCCCATGATCCCCTACTGCCCGGGGGCCTCATGAGTTGTCAGTCCTCCCCTGCTCAAGACCTACAAACACGTGGCCCCCTGCGTTCCTTGGTTCTGGCTCCACTCTCTGGGGGCCCCCTGCAGCCCCGCCCTCCACATGCTGCATTAAAAAAAAAAAGGAGGTTCCACAGAGGAGGCTCGGCTGGTAAGAGGCTGCAGTCCCTGTAATATAAAATCTATTAAATCTAAAGATACTACTTTGCTGGACTTTAGACGTGTGCAGAACAAACAAATGTGCTTAGTCTAGTTTTGATTCGTTATTTAAGTCATTTTGTTTTCGTTCAATTCGTTTTGTTTTCAAATTCGATTCGATTGGATTTGGAGAAATTCAAATTTGAATTGGCATTCGATTTCAGATTGATTCTGTTCTAAATTCGGAGGATGGTTTATATTTTTTCTATTCTATTCTATTCCATTCTTTTCTAGTCTGTTCAAATTTTTGGAAGACCATTATATTCTTTCTATTTTATTCTATTTTATTAAAATTTATTCTATTTGTTTTCCTATGCTATTCTTTTCTTATCTATTCTATTCTAATTTGCGTGTATTCTATTTGAAATTCACAATTCGGAAGACCACTATATTCTTTCTATTTTATTCTATTCTATTGAATTATTTTCCATTTGTTTTTTTTGCATTCAAATTTCAGAAAACAGTTATACAGTAATTTTTCAATTTTATTCAATTCTTTTATGTTTTTTTTCTATCCTTTTCTATCCTTTTCTATCCTATTCTAATTCGAGTGTATTCTACTAGAAATTGAAAATTCGGAAGACCGTTATAGTCTTTCTATTTTATTCTGTTCTATTGAATTCTATTCTATTGTTTTTTCTATTCAAATATCAGAAGACAGTTATACAGTAATCTTTCTATTTTTATTGAACTTATTTTTTTATTGTTTTTTTCTATTCTTTCCTATTCTTTTATTTTCTATACTATTCTATTATTTTTCTTTTTTTTCTATTCTAATCTGTTCTATTCTTGTATATTCTATTCTATTATTTTTTTTTCTATTTTATTCAAAATTCAGAATGCAGTTATATTCTTTCTATTTTATTCAATTTATTATTTTTTTCTATTCTTTCTATTCTATTATTTTCTATTCTATTCGAATTTGAGTGTATTCCATTTGAAATTCAAAATTCAGAAGACAGTTATATTTTTTTTATTTTTTTCTATTGAACTATATTCTATTGTTTTTTTTTCTATTCAAATTTCAGAAGACAGTTATACAGTAATATTTGTATTTTATTAAATTCTATTGTTTTCTTTCTATTTTTTCTATTCTATTCTTTTCTTTTCTATTCCAATGTATTCTATTTGAAATTCATAATTCGGAAGACTGTTATATTCTTTCTATTTTATTCTATTCGATTGAAATATATCCTATTGTTTTTTCTATTCATCTTTCAGGAGACAGTTATTCAGTAATCTTTCTATTTTATTCAATTCTTTTGTTCTTTTTCCATTCTATTCTTTTCTATTCTATTCTTTCCTATTTTATTATTTTCCATTCTATTCTAATCTATTCTATTCTTTTATATTCTATTGGTTTTCTATTTTATTCAAAATTCAAAATTCAGAAGACAGCTATATTCTTTCTATTTTATTATGTTCTATTGTTTTTCCTGTTCTATTCTTTTCTTTTCTATTCTTATCTATTCTATTAAATTTTTTCCATGCTGTTCTAATCTATTCTATTCTTTTCTATTCTATCGGTTTTCCGTTCCACTCATTTATTTTCTGTTCTTTTCTATTCTATTGTTTTCTATTCTTTTCTTTTCGTGTTCGAATTTGAGTCGAATTCATTTTGATTTAGAATTTTATCTGAATTTCATTTCGTTATTTTGGATTCCCATTACTATCGGAATTTGGAAATTCTGATAAATTTGAATCTCCAATTTAGAAAAAATGTATCCGAATTTCAATTCAGAACGAAATGAACCGCACACGACTAGTGGATTTCCAGTTGCGGTGTTACCTGATGTTATTCATGCAAAAATGTAGCAATTGCACCCTCATCAGGGGCGGACTGACAACTCATGGGGCCTCGGGCAATAGGGGATCATGGGGCCCCTGTGTCCTTGCCCAACTCAAAAAAGTCTATAAAAAAGGTACCAGGGGCATCTCATGGGGCCCCCTACTGACCACGGGCCCTCTCGGGCAGTACCCAAGTTTCCAAATGGTCAGTCCGCCCCTGACCCTCATATAAAGTTATATATCATTTTCTGGTGTAAAAGGTGGAAATTTATTGAAACATTGTCAGCTACGCGCTACATCAGTCTTGGCTGTCCACAGCAGGGGCGGACTGACCATTTGGAAACTCGGGCACTGCCCGAGGGCCTGGGGTCAGTAGGGGGCCCCATGAGATGCCCCTGGTACCTTTTTCATAGGCTTTTTTGAGTTTGGGCAAGGATACAGGGGCCCCATGATCCCCTATTGCCCGGGGGCCCCATGAGTTGTCAGTCCACCCCTGGTCCGCAGTGATCTGTGGATCCGTATCTGGTTGCTGTTCTCTGCTGATTGAGCAGGTGCAAGGCAGCGCAGTCCAGAATCGGCGATGTGATGAAATCTTTGGGGCTGACAGATGTGATGTCATCTGGAAGCTCACGAGCAACCAATGGAATGCGTTCCCAGGGGATATGGGTTGGTCCGAAGGGCCGGGCGCTCCCGCGGCACGCTCTCTGGTCATCATCAATGGTGTTGAACAATGATGGGAGCCTTACGCGAGTTCCTGACCTCCAGCCAAAATGACGGGATGGAATGACATAACAGGAGGCAGGGCGGGCTCCTCCAATACAATGAGCAACGTTTTTTATGTACTTTGATGATTGAGGAGCACAGGCAACAGTTAGAGTCACACATGGAAATTCTGCTTAATTCTGACCTCCAGACTTCCCTCCAGTCTTGCACAGTCTAGCGGCTCCTCTCCTGGACTGAAATGGCTTCCTCTGATTTCACTGCACACTGTGAGCTTCTCACAATGTGCAGTAGGAGCTGCAGGAAGTCAGATAGAGCCTGCCCCATTTCCTGGCTGGAGGACATCTAGCATCATCTAGCCCTTTCCTCCCCAGCCTGGCTGTCACAGGCCCCTTTCATTCATTGGATTTCAGTTCATTCAATCATGGAGGCTCTGCATCACGTGTGGTTGTTACCTAAGGCAGTCTGCATGCAAATCCAAACTGACATCAAGACATTTTGATATTTGCATAACTCTTCTCAAAAGCACTCCTACTGCTTGCATCAGGACTAAAGGCTCTTGAGAGGAGTTCCGAGTACTGTGATGCTGATGTGATGATGTCAGAAAGCTACACTATATTGCCAAAAGTATAGGTCCAGCCCTCCAAATCATGTGATTCAGGTGTTCCAATCCCCTCCATATCATGTGATTCAGGTGTTCCAATCCCCCATATCATGTGATTCAGGTGTTCCATCCCCTCCCCTCCATATCATGTGATTCAGGATTCAGATATCATGTGATCCAGGTGTTCCAATCCCCTCCAAATCATGTGATTGTGATTCATGGTGTTCCAATCCCCTCCATATCATGTGTGTGTTCCAATTCATGTGATTCAGGTGTTCCAATCCCCTCCAAATCATGTGATTCAGTGTTCCAATCCCCTCCATATCATGTGATTCAGGTGTTCCAATCCCCTCCAAATCATGTGATTCAAGTGCTCCAATCCCCTCCCAACCATTGGATTCAGGTGTTCCAATCCAATCCCCTCCATATCCTGTGATTCAATTGTTCCCAGGGGCGGACTGACAACTCATATGGGGCCCCTGGGCAATAGGGGATCATGGGTCCCCTGTGTCCTTGCCCAAACTCAAAAAAGCCTATGAAAAAGGTACCAGGAGCATCTCATGGGGCCCCCCTACTGACCCCGGGCCCTCGGGCAGTGCCCGAGTTTCCAAATGGTCAGTCCGCCCCTGAGTGTTCTAATCCCCTCCATATCATGTAATTCAGGTGTTCCAATCCCCTCCATATCATGTGATTCAAGTGTTCCAATCCCCTCCCAACCATTGGATTCAGGTGTTCCAATCCCCTCCATATCATGTGATTCAAGTGTTCCAATCCCCTCCATATCATGTGATTCAGGTTCCAATCCCCTCCATATGATGTGATTCAGGTGTTCCAATCCCCTCCATATCATGTGATTCAGGTGTTCCAATCCCCTCCATATCATGTGATTTAAGTGTTCAAATCCCCTCCAACCATTGATTAGGTGTTCCAATCCCCTCCATAGCATGTGATTTCAAGTGTTCCAATCCCCTTCCAACCAACCATTGGATTCAGGTGTTCCAATCCCCTCCATATCATGTGATTAAGGTGTTCCAATCCCCTCCCAACCATTGAATTTAGGTATTCTAATCCCCTCCATATCATGTGATTCAGGTATTCCAATCCCCTCCATATCATGTGATTCAGGTGTTCCAAACCCCTCCATGGACACAGGTGTATACAATCCATCCCCTAGGCATGCAGACTGCTTCTACAAACATTGGTGAAAGAATGGGTCGCTCTCAGGAGCTCAGTGACTCCAAGCGTGGTCCCGTGATACGTGGTCACCTGTGAAATAAGTCCATCCGTGACATTTCCTGGCTACTAAATATTCCACGCTCAACTGTTAGTGGGATTATAACAAAGTGGAAGCAACTGGGAACAACAGTAATTCAGCCACCAAGTGGTAGGCCACGTCACATGACAGAGCGGGGTCAGCGCCTGCTGAAGCGCACAGTGCGCAGAAGTCACCAACTGTCTGCAGAGTCAATAGCTAAAGACCTCCAAACTTGGTGTGGCCTTCAGATGAGCCCAACAACAGTGTGTAGAGAGCTTCATGGAATGGGTTTCCATGGCCGAGCAGCTGCATCCAAGCCTTCCATCACCAAGTGCAATGCAAAGCGTTCGGATGCCATGGTGTAAAGCACGCCGCCACTGGACTCTAGAGCAGTGGAGACGTGTTCTCTGGAGGGACCAATTACACTTCTCTGTCTGGAAATCCGATGGAAGTGTCTGGGTTTGGCGGTTGCCAGGAGAATGGTACTTGCCTGACTGCATTGTGCCAAGTGTAAAGTTTGGTGGAGGGGAGATTCATGGTGTGGGGTTGTTTTTCAGGGATTGGACTTGGCCCCCTAGTTCCAGTGAAGGGAATTCCTAAGGCATCACCATACCAAGACATTTTGGACAAATTTCATGCTCCCAACTTGTGGGAAGAGTTTGGGGATGGCCCCTTCCTGTTCCAACATGACTGCCCACCAGTGCACAAAGCAAGGCCCATAAAGACATGGAGGAGCCAGTTTGGGGTGGAGGAACTTGACTGTCCTGCACAGAGTCCTGACCTCAACCCCATAGAACACCTTTGGGATGAATTAGAGCGGAGACTGTGATCCAGGCCTCCTCCCCCGACATCAGTGCCTGACCTGACAAATGTGCTTCTGGAAGAATGGTCCAACCTTCCCATAGACACCCTCCTAAACCTTGTGGACGGCCTTCCCAGAAGAGTTGAAGCTGTTATAGCTGCAAAGGGCGGGGCCAACTCAATATTGAACCCTACGGACTAAGACTGGGGGCCATTAAAGGTCATGTGCGTGGAAAGGCAGGAGGCCCAATACTTTTGGCAATATAGTGTATGTACAGCACCCTGCCAACCCCTCCCACGAGTTATGATCTGCCTGCACTGCATAGAGAAGCACAGAGGTCCAGTGAGTACATCACTGGATCTAAAATTAGGTATATAATAAAAAAGGAAAGTTGTTATTTAAAAATGTCAATGGCAGCTTGAAGAGGGGGAAAAGGAGGAACGAGGGAAGACAAAATATATATAGATCAGATTTCAACTTTAACCAATAGAGCCCCAAACCTTTCCTTTCTTAAGCCTCTTTTGTCCCAGAGTATATTTATTTTAGTTTCAGAGGCATCTCACTTCTATATATTGCAGCTTTTGAACACTAATGACTGATGTACATGTACAATGTATATGTGAAGCACTGAGTAATTTGATGGCTCTATATAAGTACCCATTGTAAATAATAAATAAATAAACTCTACTCCAATACACTGTAAATATATATATAATATATTGTATATGTGACCTCACTGAAGTGGGTCTTTATCTGTGAGGCAGCAGAATATATGATCTCTCCCAGCACAGAGACCAGGCTCTCACTGACAGTCCCAGGTCTCATAGGGCCTCATAGGGACCCATTACCCCCAGTTCCCAGTCACCCAGTCATTGTAATAGCCTCTGATTTCCTATCACAGTAATCAATCACTGTGCAGCCCACCCCATGTGATTTCTTTCTCCTGCAATGGAGCAAAAGATACATTGTATACATAGAAGATACATTATATAATACATTGTATACATTCAGAATACATGATATAATACCCTGTATACCGGGTGTCGGCAACCCGCGGCTCCGGAGCCGCATGCGGCTCTTTTTCACCTTTCCTGCGGCTCCGGAGCACACTGCCCACCAGGTGACAGGCAATAGGGTCGGCAAGCCGCGGCTCTTTTAATGCAGCTCTTCTGTGTGCCGGGCACCTGCTGGCAAACATTGGCTGTCAGGATGTAGGCGGGGCAGCCCGGATGTAGGCGGGGCAGCGTGACGAACTCCTCTCCTCTCACAGTCTGCCCTGAAGACCAGAACGGCGCGGGAACCCAGCGAGAGGAACGCGCGGAGCAAAGGTAAGTGAATTCACACAATATGGGGAATGAATTACTACAGGGGGGATGAATTACTATAGGGGGGATGAATTACTACGGGGGATGAATTACTATAGGGGGGATGAATTACTATAGGGGGGATGAATTACTATGGGGGATGAATTACTATATGGGGGGATGAATTACTATGGGGGATGAATTACTATATGGGGGATGAATTACTATATGGGGGATGAATTACTATATGGGGGATGAATTACTATGGGGGATGAATTACTATATGGGGGATGTATTTTCAGTTTTAAAAATGTTTCTCTCAAAATAAATTTCAATCGTGGTTTTGGCGAGATTTGGCTCAGTCGAAAAAAAAGGTTGCCCACCACTGACCTAAGGCTATGATTGTGATTATGACGATACACTGTGGCCCTGATTTAACCCTTTGCTTACTGGGCCCTTAAACCCCCTTCATGACCAGAGCGTTTTTTGCAATATATGCAGTGTCGGATTTGTTTTAAATGTTGCAATGATTTTGCGGCTCCCAGTCTTTTTTTCCCTCTCGGAAACGGGTCCAAGTGGCTCTTTATGTCTTAAAGGTTGCAGACCCCTGCTGTATACAAATAGGATCCATTACATAATACATTCTCCATGAATAAATTCTGAGAGGCAGAGTGAAACGCATTGGGGGCGTGGCCTGGCTGGAGTCCGGGATGAGATCGCCAATCATTCCAATATCAGTGGGTTTGCAAGAATGTGCTGCTTAATTGGATCCATCCTTTGCTTAACATCGTATACACGCAGGATCCATTATATAATACATTGTATACATACAGGATCCATTATATAATACATCATATACACGCAGGATCCATTATATAATACATTGTATACATATAAGATCCATTATAGAATACATTGTATACATACAGGATCCATTATATAATACATTGCATACATATATACAGGATCCATTATATAATACATCATATACATATAGGATCCATTATATAATACATTGTATACATACAGGATCCATATATAATACATTGTATACATACAGGATTCATTATATAATACATTGTATACATACAGGATACTTTATATAATACATTGTATACATACAGGATCCGTTATATAATACATTGTATACATACAGGATCCATTATATAATACATTGTATACATGCAGAATACATTATACACGGCTCATATAATTGAAAGGAAAACTTTTAATCAGAGTCTAGCGTCAAGTCGATGAAACTCCTGGGACACTGATCTGGTCAGGTAAGTAGCAGAGGGGTTGTTAATCAGTTTCAGCTGCTTTGAAGTTAATGAAATTAACAACAGGTGCACTAGATGGGCAAAAAATGAGACAACCCCCTAAACAGGAATGGTTTGACAGGTGGAGGCCAGTGACATTTGTTTCCCTACTCAGCTATTTTGACTGTTTTCCACTAGTTTTGCATTTGGCTAGGGTTAGTGTCACTACTGGTAGCATGAGGCCATACCTGGACCCCACAGAGTACAACTCCTCCTCCAGGATGGCACATCAATACATGTTATTGCCAGAAGATGGTTTGCTGTGTCTCCCAGCACAGTCTCAAGAGCATGGAGGAAATTCCAGGAGACAGGCAGTTACTCTAGGAGAGCTAGACAGGGCCGTAAAAGGTCCTTAACCCATCAGAAGGACCGGTATCTACTCCTTTGTGCAAGGAGGAACAGGATGAGCCCTGCCAGAGCCCTACAAAATGACCTCCAGCAGGCCACTGGTGTGAATGTCTCTGACCAAACAATCAGAAACAGACTTCATGAGGGTGGCCTTGAGGGCCCGACATCCTCTAGTGGGCCCTGTGCTCACTGCCAAGCACCAAAGAGCTTAATTGGCATTTGCCATTGAACACCAGAATTGGCAGGTCCACCACTGGCACCCTGTGCTTTTCACAGATGAGAGCAGGGTCACCCTGAGCACATGTGACAGACGTGAAAGGGTCTGGAGAAGCCGTGGAGAACGTTCTGCTGCCTGTAACATGGTTCAGCATGACTGTTTGGTGGTGGGTCAGTGATGGTCTGGGGAGGCATATCCATGGAGGGACGCACAGACCTCTACAGGCTAGACAATGGCACCCTGACTGCCATTATGTATCAGGATGAAATCCTTGGACCCATTGTCAGACCCTACGTTGGTGCAGTGGGTCCTGGGTTCCTCCTGGTGCAGTGGGTCCTGGGTTCCTCTGGTGCACGACACAATGCCCTGGCCTCATGTGGCGAGAGCAGTTCCTGGAGGGATGAATGGAATTGGTACCATTGAATGGCCCCCATGCTCACCTGACCTAAATCCAATAGAACCCCTCTGGGATGTCATGTTTCGGTCCATCCAACACCGCCAGGTTGCACCTCAGACTGTCCAGGAGCTCAGTGATGCCCTGGTCCAGATGTGGGAGAAAATCCCCCAGGACACCATCCATCGTCTCATTAGGAGCCTCCCCTGACATTGTCAGGCATACATACAAGCACATGGGGGCCATACAAACTACTGAGGACCATTCTGTGTTGCTGCAATGACATTTCAGCAAAATGGACTCGCCTGCCGCATCATTTTTTCCCCTTGATTTTTGGGGTGTCTTTGAATTCAGTCCTCTGTAGATCGATCATTTTCATTTCCATCAAACAATGGGGAATTCTTACATTCCTATCACATGACCCCGTCCATATCAGTATAGAGATCCAGCAGGAGATTCCTCCCCATTGAGATCTGATGGGTTTTCAAAGTGTTCCTTTCATTTGTTTTGTATACATGCAGGACGCGCTATGTAATACATTGTACACATGCAGGACGCGCGCTATGTACATGCAGGACATTGTACACATGCAGCAGGGCGCGCTATGTAATACATTGTACACATGCAGGGCTATATAATACATTGTACACATGCTATGTAATACATTGTACACATGCAGGGCGCGCTATGTAATACATTGTACACATGCAGGACGCGCTATGTAATACATTGCAGGGCGCGCTATGTAATACATGCAGGACGCGCTATGTAATACATTGTACACATGCAGGACGCGCTATGTAATACATATGTAATACATTGTACACATGCAGGACGCGCTATGTAATACATTGTACACATGCAGGACGCGCGTGTAATACATTGTACACATACGCGCTATGTAATACATTGTAC